TAATATTCCATTGTGTAGGTTGTGCTTTTTATAATTTTTATTCTTTTATATTCATTTTGTATGACCCAGGGTGTGGTCTTTCTTGGTGAATGTTCATATGCACATGTAAAGAATGTATGTTCTGTAACGTTGGCTGGTGGATCAGTTAGCTCCTGTTGAGAGATGGTAGTTTACTTCTTCTATAATAAGAATTGGAAAACTGCATTATGCCTCAGATCCAGCCTACTACCTGTTTCTGTGGTGGTGTATTTGAACACAGCCTTCTCTGTGTTTTTATATACAGTCTTAGGCTGTGTTCATGCTATAATGGCAGTGTTGAGACTGCAGAGACTGAATGACCTGAAAAGCCTGAAATAATTTATTCTGCCCCCAAATAGTCATTCCATATATTTTGATTTCTGTTTGCATGGCATGCTTTGTTTGATCATTCNTTAGGCTGTGTTCATGCTATAATGGCAGTGTTGAGACTGCAGAGACTGAATGACCTGAAAAGCCTGAAATAATTTATTCTGGCCCCAAATAGTCATTCCATATATTTTGATTTCTGTTTGCATGGCATGCTTTGTTTGATCATTCAGTTATTAATCTACCTGTTACATTACATTTGAAATGAAGCATTGTAATGTAATGTAATGTGGCATTACATTTGGACAATAGGTCATGTTTTCATATATTCAGACAATTCCTTTTAACTGGTATGCTTAGATCATTTGCATTTATTCTAATTTCAATATATTTGGATTCAAGTCTTCTATTTTATTTTTTGTTTTCTTATTATTCTGTTTTTTATTTTTCCATTCCTTTTTCTACCTTCTTTTGAGCTATTTGAACATTTTTTTAGTATTCCATTTTAATTTATCTTATGTTTTGACATCACTTAACTTTTTTAGTGTATTTACTAGACTTATACTATGCATATGTAAGTTGTCAATCTACTTCATTCCAATCAGTGGAATGAAGAAATCTTATCATCCACGTTTCCCTCAACTCTTCCCCCTAATGTTGTAGATATCTTATATATTACAGTTGCATATATTGAAATCCTCATCAGATGATATATACTTTTCCCTTTCAATCTCAAAGCATATTTTAAAGACACCAACAGGAAAAGCATGGTCCATTATATTTACTTAAGTTAGATTATATTTACGTAAATATATTTACAATTTTTGCTGCTCTTCTTACATTTCCATTGTTTCAAGTTTCCTTGTGGCACAATTCTCCTTTCCTAGGGGGAACGTCCTTCTATTTTTAAAAATTTTGTACTGGGCTACAGCTGATTAATAAACAATGTTGTGACAGTTTCGGGTGAACAGCAAAGGGACTCAGCCGTACATGTACACACATCCTTTCTCCCCAAATGCCCCTCCCATCCAAGCTGTCACATAACATTGCACAGAGTTCCATGTGCTATACAATAGGTCCTTGTTGGTTATCCATTTTAAATACAGCAGTGTGTACAAGCCCATCCCAAACTCCCTTACTTTATCTGTTTTTTAGAGTAGGTCCACTGATGGCAAATGCTCCTGCTTTTCTTCATCAGAGAATGTCTTATTTCACCAAAGTACTTAGTGAGAAATCAGCAGTCATTTGAATCATAGCTAATGAATCATTATCTGGCTGCTTTCCAGTGTTTTTCTTTAGTTTTAGGCAGCTTCATTATGATGATGCCCATGTTTGGCCATGGATTTCTTTTGATTTTTACTCTGGTATTTGCTAAGTTTCTTGAATCTTTGGGGCTATGTCTCTCACCAGATTTGCTAAGTTTTCAGCCATTATTTCATCAAACACTTTTTCTGCAGTGCACTTTCTCCTCTTCTTCTTAAAGACTGATGACATGTCTTTTGATATGCTCTCAAGGGTCCCACAGGCACTCTTCAGTTTTTAATTTTTTTTCTCTCATTCAAACTGGATAATTTCACTTGATCTGTCTTTGAGGTCACTGGCTTTTGCTTCTGTTATTTATTTCTATTCTGCCACTAGCTCACTGAGTGGGTTTTTTAATAAACTTTTTATATAGAATGGTTTTAAATTTACCAAAAGAATTGTGAAGATAGTACTGTTTCACCTACACCTAATTTTGCCTATTATTAACATCTTTGCAATTAATAAATGGATATTGGTATCCAGTTGCTACTAAAGTCTGTGCTATATTCAGATTGTCTTAATCTTCATCTTTTGTCCTTTTTATCTTCCAGAATGTCATTCAGGACCCACATTACATTTAGTTGTCATGTCTCCTCAGGTTCTTACTGGCTACAACAGTTTCTCAGGCTTTCTTTTGGATGACCTTGACAGTTTTGAGAACAGATACAGTTAGATGTTTTATAGACTGTCTTATATGGGGAATTGTCTGATGTCTCTCTCTTGATTAAAGTTACGAGCTCTGGGGAAGAAGACCACAGACAAAAGGTCGTTTTCATCATTTCATCACATCATGTCAAGAGCACATTATATCAACATGGCGTATTACTGTGGATGTTAATTTTGTCTTGTTTTTCCACCATAAGCTAATACTTTTCACCCATTTCACACTGTCCTCTTTGGAAGAAAGTCACTATGCATATCTCACACTTACAGAATATAAGGTTATAATACCCCTCCTTGAGCACAGAGAAATTACATAAATTATTTATGTAATCCAGTGATGGATACATAAGTGGAATCCAGTGAGCTTTACATTTTGATTAATGTGTTTTGGGGGTTCTGAAATTTTTATTTAATCCGTCTTTATATCTTATGTTTTTTGCTGAGACTTTCTATTCATTTCTAGAATTATTTCTTACTTCTTGGAATACTTTTTAATGACTGTTTCACAGTCTTTTTCAGATAATTCCAGAATATGTGTCATCTTGGCATTGACTTGGGTAGATTTCCTTTTTCCGCAGCACTGAGGATTTCCTAGCTCTTTATCTGCTGATAAATTTGGAGTTGCATTGTGGGTATTTTAAATGGCACTCTGAAAGTGAAAGTGAAAGTGGCTCAGTGGTGTGGACTCTACAATCCCATGGACCATACAGCCCATGGAATCCTCCAGGCCAGATTACTGGAGGGGGTAGCCTTTCCTTCTCCAGGGGATCTTCCCAACCCAGGAATTAAACTGGGGTCTCCTGCATTGCAGGCAGATTCTTTACCAGCTGAGCCACAAGGGAAGCCCAAGAATACTGGAGTGGGTAGCCTATCCCTTCTCCAGGGGATGTTCCTAACCCAGGAATCGGACAGGGATCTCCTGCGTTGCAGGAGGATTCTTTACCAACTGAGCTATCAGGGAAGCCCCAAATGGCACTCTGGTCACTTTAAACTCTATGGAGAATGTGTATTTTTTTTTTTTTTTTAAGGCAGGTAATCAGTCCTCTTGGGCACAGGCTGCAGGCTCCAAACAGCCTCAGGGCATTGGATTCAGTGTCACTTTTGTTTAGCCTTTGCAAGCTGTTAGAATCTGTCTCATATTTTTGCCCAGCTCCCCACTCCTAACAATGTTCCACTACTTTCTAATTCTCTGGGACTCCCTCTGGCTGAAAGGTGAGTGTGTGAGTTGCCTTGATCTGCTTTGTGTCTCAGCACTGACTTCCGGGGCCAGGTGGCCGCCTTGCCGTCGGGGCCAGGTGGCCGCCTTGCCGTCGGGGCCGCAGGTGGTCTGAGAGGAGGGACACCTCCCTCGGAGTCCCCGGCGACAGGCGGCCCTGCCACTGTGGTTGTTCCAGCTGCTGCCCTGGAGCAGAGTCGCCTGGCGCTGGGTTCAAGAGAATCGAGGAAAATAAAAACGGGGTTTCCTCCATCTGCTCTGAGCACGGAAAGTTCTTTTTCTGTTTTCCAAGCCAGAACTCCTCGCACTGGAGCTTTTTCGTCCCGCTTCCAGCTCTGTCCAGACGTCCGCGTGCTTAGAGCACCGCTCTCCTTCCCCAGCCTGACCGCTGCCATTTACTCTGAGCGCTCAGCGTCACTCGGGGACTCTGTCCGGGTGCCACCGCGGGCTTCCCGGGTGGGGCAGGATCCGCTCGTTCGGCCTGCCTTGCTGGCGCTTTGTGCTAGCACCGGAGCATCCCTCGCGGTCCTGCAGTGGGGTCCCGCCTTCTCCGTAAAGCCTTTTCCGGTACCGCCGCCCCCAGCCCCACTCTAGAGCAAGGCTCCCCCCGCCCCGTATCCAGCACACTGCGCATTCTGCGCAGTGACTTGCTGTGGTCGTGGGGTTGTGTGTGTGTCCCGCTTCCTGGCCCATCACCCAAAGTCAACGGCTGCATCTTTTCAGGCTTCTGTTCTCCGTCTCACCCACTTTCCTCAATATAAAACGTGCTCAGTACTGGCTTATTGGAAACACCTGATTCCCACCGTGCCCTGCGGGAAGCTGCTCACTAACCTGGAGCTCTCTGTCTGTCCGTGGCGCAGCAGGAACCAGTGGAGTTCCTGGAGTCTATTCATTCTTAGAAACACTTGTCCCTCCCATGCCTCTGTGCCCTGACCCTGCAGTCTCCCCAGGAAGTTTCCCTATTCTTTCTAGGACTCAGATACAGCTTTGCAAGGGCACTGCCAATTCAAAACCTCAGAAATTAGGCTTTTTTTTTTTTATGGTCAACGGGAGAGCTTAAAGAGACTCTGATTACACTTCTTTTGAAGCTAATCACAGCAGAAGCTCTTCTTGGTAGCTCACTAGGAAACAAGAAGTTCTGAGTAAGGGCCTCTGAGGACCGTGGGGAAGTGTCTGAAAAGCTCCCACGGCCTGACCAGCCAGCAGTTCCACCACAGTCTGGCCAGGCCTCCCAAAGTGAAGATGCTCTGTGCTAAGCTCTACGTGGTATTATGGAATCAAGTAGAATCTTATAGGAACCCTAAACCCACCCAGACTCTTTCATGCTGAAAGTCGTCCATTTCCCCTGACTTCCCAGGTGCAGGAGGGTGCCCTTCTGGGCCAGGACTGCAGCCTGGGTCCCGGGAGAGTCTCAGATGTGTCGCTGGGGTGATGTGGATGAGTGACCCGTGCGTCCCTCTTCTGTCCACTTCAGGAGGCGTGCGAGGCCCTGCTGGACCAGTGTCTGCGCTACGTGCAGTCCTGCAGCCCCCAGAGGACCGCTGGCAGCCTCAGCGTGGGCTTCGCCCCGCTCTCTCCACCCTCCGAAGCCACCGCCTCTGGCCCCAGCCTCGTGATTGATGGGAGAAGTCTGGCCTACGCCCTCCAGAAGAACCTGGAGGACAAATTCCTCTTCCTCGCTAAGCAGTGCCGGTCTGTCCTTTGCTGTCGCTCAACCCCCCTGCAGAAGAGCATGGTGGTGAAACTGGTCAGGAGCAAGCTCAAGGCCATGACCCTGGCCATAGGCAAGTATCCAGGCCAGACAGCCCCCTCCTGTGCAGCTGCCTTCTTTTGAAGCATCTTGGATTTCCTGCCCCTTCCATACTATACTCTAGGGTGGGAAAACGCTTTCTTGTTCTTTTTCCTATTTATAAAATCACACTCGGTACAATAAAATTGGCAGTCTGTTCCAAATATAAAGCTTAGATTTGAAAGCCACAAAATACACTAGCAACAGATACAGCTACATATTATAAAGTCAGTAATTCAGTGTCGAATTAAAAAGTTAGAGCTTCTTACTGTCTCCCAGGAGACAGGAGAGTCCTGGCGTGAGGCCCTCAGCAGAGCCCTACCCATTAAGCCTGACCCCAGGCCAACTTAGGGAGAAGGCCCTTTGTAGGTGCTTCTGATGGCCATGAGCCGCCTGGGGTCCAACTTCATCACACTTTGGGACCCAAAGATTCCATGGGGATCAGAATCCCCATTGCTTCTTGTCTGCTAAACTTTGTTTAAGTGTTAGTCACTCAGTTGTGTCCAACTCTTTGTGACCCCATGGACTGTAGCCCGCCAGGCTCCTCTGTTCATGGGATTCTCCAGGCAAGAATGCTGGAGTGGATTGCCATTTCCTTCTCCAGGGGATCTTCCCCACCCAGGAATCGAATCCAGGTCTCCTGCATTGGCAGGCTGATTCTTTACCATCTGAGCCACCTGGGAGATGATTTTGTTTCAAGACCAGCATCTAATTTTAAAACATTTCTCCTAACTGAATAGTTGCTGGATTTTGCATCATTTCCTTAAGGACTGTGTGTCTGATGGTGGTTTTTCCTTGCAGACTGGGGCCTGGCGAGCCTTCTGGCCCCTCTCCAGTCTACACCAGCACCCACCTGTCTCCCCACCCACTCTGATTCAAGTCCAGTGTCCAGGGAGGTTCAGGGACGTGGCAGCCCCACCTGCTGGGGAGAGCTGGGAGAGACTGCAGGGAGCCTCGGAAAAGGGGTGGTCCCCAGGATTCCCCGATATCAAATAGTTTGGTCTTCCTGCATATAGAATGCACACCTAAGTGAGAGTTGGCTCTGAAATAAAGCTTCCTCACCAATCAGTAATAATTACCCTATTTTCTACAGGAGGTCTGTGATAGCTCCCCTTTGGTGATGCAGGAATTGCCACCCTGTTACCTCATCAGGACAGTTAGGGCTGGTGATGGCCTTAGCATGGTTGTCATGGAGATGGACCTGCACATCCCCAGGGCATGGTAACCTCTGAGGGGTGTGAGTGTGTGTTCACCCACAGCCCCCTGGTTCCGGCTGAGATAAGACAGGCAGCTCTTCTAGGGTGGCCCCTCTTCAGGGAGGCTGTCTCAGGACCACCTTTGCCCTCATGTGCCCAGACAGGCCTACATGGTAACCTCTGAGGGCTGTGAGTGTGTGTTCACCCACAGCCCCCTGGTACCGGCTGAGATAAGACAGGCAGCTCTTCTAGGGTGGCCCCTCTTCAGGGAGGCTGTCTCAGGACCACCTTTGCCCTCATGTGCCCAGACAGGCCTTTAGGTCTCTCTCAGCAGGTGTTGGAGGCAGAAGCTGAGGAGTTTGAGTCCGGGTCTGCACCCTCACTGATAACTTTGCTCCTCTGTGCTCCAGCTTCAGCCTTAACATGGGGTCAGCATCCCCCAGTGGGACGAGTGTGAGACTCTGAACATGATAGGGAACATTCTCGCTGCCTGTTCGGGGCCCGGCTCACTCAGCCACCGCATCACTGGTGTGTGGCACTCACTTAGGAAACTGGGGAAAGAAAAAGGCTAGTTAGAAAGAAAAAACAAAACAATCTCAAAAGGGAAAGGAAAAATAAAGACCCATCAACTTTTAGCTCATTGCTTTCTATGAGTTAAGGCATGAATGTGACCTAGACCTGGGCATCCAGCAGTTAATAATCCAGAGAGCATCATTGCCCACACATCTCATTTTGAATGGGACATTCTGGGCAGAGCTACAGAGGTTATTGCTTCACAGAATTTCAGCTGGACAAATACTGACTCATTCTCCAGGTTGGGCCCTGTGCAGTAAAGAACAGAGGGATCACAGAGGGAAGACATCCATCTGAGTCACTCGACTCTATATACCTATACTTTTTACATGTTTGAAATGGGGGAGGTATTCTGTGAGGTGGGCCCTTCTGCCACCCTGTTCCAAGAACAGTCACTCTCAGTGAGTGATAATGAGTTTAACTCTCTGGTTGTCTTTCCCCAAAGACGTGGAGAGCGCTGACCCTGTGCTCCTACACACTTTCTGTCAGCAATTTGACTAAATACATAGGTGGTCTCCTTAATTACATGCTTGGAGAGACCAAGGGTGGGCACAGTAACTAACAAACTAGCCAGACTTGAGTGTGCAAACAGAGTTCCACAGTTTGCTGGGCAGAGTTTAACCTCCTTTGTTCAGTTTAGAGAACCACTCACAGGAGTGTGAATGGAAGTAGCTTTGACTGACATGTGACAAAGCCTAGAGTGGGTCAGGAAGTAACAGGGAAGGCGGTGATCCTATTCTGTTCAGGATCCCTGAAGGGCTCTACTGATGTGTGAGCCAGTAGCTTGGAACGTGTCCTAAATGGAAAGGGGCGCTGGCTGCTGCTTTCTCAGATTCTTCCTGGTGTGACTGCTGGGTCCAAGCCTCCCACCAGGTTTGTTCTGACTGCATAACCCGGCTCCGCTGGGGCAGGGGCTGCACTGCCTCTTCCTCACTTCTCCCTAGGACCCCTCACAGTTCCCAGCTCACACCGGAGTCCCGTGAAGATCACCGAGCCTGTTTAATCATGTACATCTCAGCTCATGATTCTCCCTGCCTGTGATGTTCTAGGAGACGGAGCCAATGACGTCAGCATGATCCAGGTGGCAGATGTGGGCGTGGGAATCTCAGGCCAGGAGGGCATGCAGGTAAGGACAGGGGGCTGTCCTGGGCAACCAAAGGGCTCCTACTGTGAGCCGCGCTGGCCTTGCTGTGAGCTGTCCTGCAGAGCTGAAGGCTTGGACCTTGGTATAGCTGGCGCTTGCCTCCTGCTAAACTGGCAGTAGACCAGGTGGCAGGCGGCTCTTCATGTTGGTGAAGCCGTGCGGTGAATGTGCCTGTCAGTCTGTTTCTCTGGAAAGGTGGCATGGAGTGAGGCAAGGTGAGTCATCGCCTTCCTCTGGCTGTCGGTGGGTCGTCTCTGCAAGGCATTTTTTATTGCTGCTGAACATCAGTGATACTATGGACCTTGCTATAGGACTGTTGTGTCTTGCTGTCACTATAAAGATGGAGTAAAGCCATCCTCCCTCATGTGAAAATCAATCTCTGTGTTTTTCATTTGCCACTGTGTTGGTTCTCTGCACATGATCCAGACGATGAATAAATGGGTTCATTCTACATTTGATTCAGTTTGAATCACAGTATTTTTAACTTGGTGGAGACTTTTGGGAACAGTCTATCTGGTTGTCTTCTTTTAAAAATCAAGATGTTGTCCACTCTTTGCTCATCAATTGCTCATTGATGTGCTCACCCTGTAACGAGTTCTTGAGCACTCATGTGTCGCATGCTTGTGCAGGGTCATTGATTTTGTCACTTGACACTGAAATCACAGTTTTATGGAAAGTCCTGAGCCAGAAGCACAGTTGTTCCATCTCGGCCTCATCCTCAGTATATAACTCTCCTCCTGCGCCTCGTCTGACTTGGGTTATGTTACTGTACGTGTTTTCTTCCTCCATAAAACTGAAAATGGAACCCAGTTTGGTTTCATCCTTGCCCCTCCTCCCAGTAACATCACATGCTGCTGCTGCTAAGTCACTTCAGTCATGTCCGACTCTGTGCGACCCCATAGACGGCAGCCCACCAGGCTCCTCCATCCCTGGGATTCTCCAGGCAAGAACACTGGAGTGGGTTGCCATTTCTTTCTCCAGTGCAAGAAAGTGAAAAGTGAAAGTGAATTCGCTCAGTCCTGTCCGACTCTTCGCAACCCCATGGACTGTAGCCTACAAGGCTCCTCCATCCATGGGATTTTCCAGGCAAGAGTACTGGAGTGGGGTGCCATCGCCTTCTCCGTGACATCACATGGGGGAGCTCAAAAATGTATATTGAATGAATGAGAAAAATAGTTAATTCCATCTGATTTTTTCAGCATTGCCTCCTTTGCACTCATTTCCTAGAATGAATACCTACCCAGGGCAGGGCTTTTAAACCACACGTGCAGAGAAATGCAGCCAGTGAATCCACTTTGTATCAGGGTCTCTCAGATTGAGCATGCCAGTGAGGAAGGGCATGAGTTGTGTCCACTGCAGGGCCTCAGGGCAGGAGCCAGAGGATTCAGTGAGCCATGAAGGAGGTGTGGGGATCAGCCAGACTGTAGGGCTCTTAAAGAGACTCAGCTTTGAGTGGACATGACTTCTGCATGGAATGTCACTGGATGCTTCCATATTTACTTGAAGCTATACTTCTTTATTGAGGGCGCACTATGTAAAGTGACGGTAAGACTCGACACTTTCTCCTACTGTTCTAAGGGTTCAGGTTCCCCAGGGGAGTGTGGCCCTGCTTGTTGTTAGTCCAGTAAGAAAGGGGACATTGTGCGGAGCTCCCTGGAAGAGACACTGTGTGGGACGCTGTGGCCGTAGGGACCTGAGGAGTCCAGGCTGAGTGTCTGAGGAAAAGTGATGGTAGTTGCAGCTCCCCAGCTCAGCCAGGGTGGAAAAGGTGTCCCAGGCAGGGGAACAGAAAGGACCAAGGAGATTCTGTAGCTCTGAGACAGCCAGTCTTTGAGGAGTCATCTGGTCAACCATGTTTGTTGAGTACCCCATGGGTCAAGCACTGACTGGGAACCAGGGCTGCAGGTAATCACAACATCTACCATGCAGGGTCTCATGGAATATTCAGAAAGATCAGAAAGGGAAGGTAGAGAAGATTTTAACTTACACCAGTGGTCATAATTGAGTTGTCTTCAGTGCTGTGAAGGAACAGCATGAGGTTCCCTGCTGAGGATGTGGTGGGAAGCTCTGCCCAGCTGGGAATACTGGGGAGGCCACTGTGATTGGGGGAGCAAGCGGTGTGTTCAGGGTGTGGAGGCGGGAAGCTGGGCCGAAGGGTGGAAGAAAGGCCAGCGGGGCCTGGAAGGAGGGGCATACCTGCGGTTCTCAAGGTCGGGGCTGCTTCTCAAACACTCCTGGGGCCTCTCCTTCACTCTGACTCACCGTCAACCCTTCATTGTTTAGGACATTGAAGACAGGTACCCTGTGTGATGGTATCTGTCTCCAAGTCAGTGTCTGGCAACTGCAGGGTCTTAATACATGATATTTGAGAGGATGAACTGTGGAATAAATGAAGGAAGAAAAGATGCACGAAACCCTTAAGGCTCCCACATGTTGACAGGAAGAGGGGTAAAGATATGGTTTGCTTTCAGATCCTTACTTTTGGGTTCAGAAAGCAGACATTCTGAGGCTTCATTCTTTTCTGTCATGTGTAATGATGTTACTCTGTTTCACAAATGGGACAGTATCTAAGTGATATTTAAGGGAAGCCTATAAAATTTGAAAAGGAGACTTAAATGTTTGTGAGGAATAACCTTCAAAGATAAGCAAAAATGTGTCTTTGACATTTTCTTGGATTTTTCCCCCAAATAATGAAATTCATTCCCAAATAATGATGTATTCCAAGTTATTTTGGACACAGACGTTGTCATTAGGATGGCACCGTCTGGCCAGTTAGTTTAATTTTGTAGAATACGTTGCTCAGTGAGGTAAAGGAAAGCTTCCTCCCCCGGCCTCTTTCCTGTCTGCAGAGGAAGCCTGCCATCCATCCCACTGTCCCTTCAGCCCATGTTCAGTGCCCTGCAGTGGGCATCCTGAGACTGGGCTGGCTGCTGGGCAGGGTATCCATGGGCCTGGCCTTGCTCATCACCCGTGGCTCTTGGGGAGAACGCCCGCAGAGGACGCCTCTCAGGACAGCTGTCTGTCTGTCCCTGATGCATACCTAAGGGGCAGCTTTGCTTCATCTTTGGGTTGGGATCCTAATATGATTTAGATGAATAAAACATCAGAGAGTGGGAAAAAGCAGGGAAACTTCATACATCTCCGTATTTTTTTTAGTTTGCCTAAAAAAAAAAGGCATGGGAAAGAAAAAGCAAAAACTTTACAAATCCATCAATTACATATATTTGAAATCTTAAATATGTCCTCTAGAGCAGTATCCCTAAACTAGAGTGTGATTGATATTGGATTTTTCTTAAATGCAAGCATTCATCCTGGAGACAGTGGTAACAGCCAGCTCAGACTGGATTTCTGCATCCCTGTTGTGCCTTGTGTTTGGGGGGAGTTAAGACGGACCTCAGGCGCAGTGAAGTAGCACCAATAACTAGCACTCTCTCCCTCTCAAGGCAGTGATGGCCAGCGACTTCGCGGTGCCGAAGTTCCGATACCTCGAGAGACTCTTGATTGTTCACGGACATTGGTGCTATTCCCGGCTTGCCAACATGGTGCTGTACTTCTTCTACAAAAACACAGTATGTATTTGATGCCAGTGTCGAGGATTTTTGATGTGAAATCAATAACCTTCAAAGATAAGCAAAAATGTGTCTTTGACATTTTCTTGGATTTTTCCCCCAAATAATGAAATTCATTCCCAAATAATGATGTATTCCAAGTTATTTTGGACACAGACGTTGTCATTAGGATGGCACCATCTGGCCAGTTAGTTTAATTTTGTAGAATACGTTGCTCAGTGAGGTAAAGGAAAGCTTCCTCCCCTGGCCTCTTTCCTGTCTGCAGAGGAAGCCTGCCATCCATCCCACTGTCCCTTCAGCCCATGTTCAGTGCCCTGCAGTGGGCATCCTGAGACTGGGCTGGCTGCTGGGCAGGGTATCCATGGGCCTGGCCTTGCTCATCACCCGTGGCTCTTGGGGAGAACGCCCGCAGAGGACGCCTCTCAGGACAGCTGTCTGTCTGTCCCTGATGCATACCTAAGGGGCAGCTTTGCTTCATCTTTGGGTTGGGATCCTAATATGATTTAGATGAATAAAACATCAGAGAGTGGGAAAAAGCAGGGAAACTTCATACATCTCCGTATTTTTTTTAGTTTGCCTAAAAAAAAAAGGCATGGGAAAGAAAAAGCAAAAACTTTACAAATCCATCAATTACATATATTTGAAATCTTAAATATGTCCTCTAGAGCAGTATCCCTAAACTAGAGTGTGATTGATATTGGATTTTTCTTAAATGCAAGCATTCATCCTGGAGACAGTGGTAACAGCCAGCTCAGACTGGATTTCTGCATCCCTGTTGTGCCTTGTGTTTGGGGGGAGTTAAGACGGACCTCAGGCGCAGTGAAGTAGCACCAATAACTAGCACTCTCTCCCTCTCAAGGCAGTGATGGCCAGCGACTTCGCGGTGCCGAAGTTCCGATACCTCGAGAGACTCTTGATTGTTCACGGACATTGGTGCTATTCCCGGCTTGCCAACATGGTGCTGTACTTCTTCTACAAAAACACAGTATGTATTTGATGCCAGTGTCGAGGATTTTTGATGTGAAATCCGTGAGATTCACAGGACTGTTAACTGAACGTGGTCTGCGGGCCATGCCACAGCCTCCCGTTGGTTCCACCCACACTTGGCTTCTGTGGCTTTTTCCCAGGCCTGGTCTGCCCTTGCACCCTCAGTCTCAGAAGTCTTAACTCACTTGCTGCTCTGAGGATGGAAACAGGTAGATCCAAGGAGGAAGTCCACTTGCAGCTTTATAATAAGTAGAGTTACCGTGGGGTCCAGGGGTTTTCATGAAGTCCTCAGTCAGTGAGTGGTCGAGGCTCCTTTCTGCCCCCACCCAGCTGACTCCAGTTTCCAGGCTCTTTACCACTCTGTCCCTGTCTCTCTCAGGAATGGTCTCCTGAGGCGCCCACAGACAGGATGCTCTGATCGGTGCTCTCTCAAAGCACATGGGCTCATCTGATGAGTGGAAGTGTGGTTGGCAGTCCTGGGTCAGCATGAGAGGACTCGGCTGGGCTGTGACCCTGATGCTAAGAAGGCTGTTGAGATTGTCTTCAAGAAGCCTTTCCTCATCCCCCTGGCCACCATGAGTGTACATACGCCTATGGCTGCATCGTTGCTTCTGTGTTCATTCATCAACCACAGGCGTCATCACGTTTTACCATAGTTTCCTATTCAGGAAACTTCTGCACTAGACACTGACACTCCTCTATAACTCTGCTATGCTCTACTACACACCTAGCCCGCTGCACTGTCTCAATAAATACACAAAATACTTTTGCTTATAAATCTTGGATTACAGAACTAGTCAATGAGGTAGTGAAATGGTAAAAATTTTATTTTTAGCTAAACTGATTTCATAGCAGTTTGTTTATTCAGATACAAATGGACTTTAATATAGCAGTTATGACATTGAAGCTTTGGCCCCAGATTTAATGAAATAGAAATAAATGGCAAAAATCACGCCCACCCTGGGCCAGCAGGAAGGGGCTGCCACCCTCTGTGCTGGCAGGTAGACGCCCCTCAGGCCAGCTCATTCTGTACTTGACCTTTCAGTTAGGGCGTGCACAGACCTGCTTGGCTTAGGACAGTTCTATTTCTTCAGGGATTCTGATTCAGGGCCCTGGTCTGTTTCCTGCTGACCCTAACATTTAATTCTTAGTTCCTTCACTACTGTGTTCTTGGCAGACAGCCGTGTGGTAGCAGTAGCCTCCAGGATGAACCACATGGCCATCTCAGGACCCTACCCTACTTGTGAGGTATAGACATTCTACTGAGAACTTGCTGGATTGCTGCTTGTCCCTTTTGCCTCTGATAGGAGGCAAGGAGACAAAGTAAAAACTTTCGGGGTAACTGACTCTTCAGAGTAGTCCTGTAGATTTGCCCTGCCGGATCCATAGCTCCAAAGTCAAGAGCATGTCTAATTTTATAGATTAGATCCTGGAAATTAATTCAGATTGGGTTCTGCCTGGGACTCAATCCATGCAGGGCTGTGCTGTGCTGTCCCTGACCTCATCAGATCCCCTTGCTACTGACTGCCTGGCGTTGCCTCCCCAGCACCACCCCCTCCTCGCACAGAGTTGCAAACCTAGAGGCTCCCAGCTCCCAAAGGGGTAGGTGGTGCTTTGAGTAAAGGTGTGAGTGGGGCTGGGCAGGCTGGAATCCCAGCACTGTTTCTCTCGGTCATTAGCTGTGCAATCTGGAGCAAGTTAATTGCCTCCTTTGGATTTGTTTTCTTTATCTGAAAACAAAACAGAACACAGGAATTGAACTCTGCTCTCTGTAATTCCTAATGAAAACTTCTCAGGCTGAGGGGGAGGCATTCCATATTTCAGTTGCAGAAGAGACCCAGAGTGGCCACTGGAATGGACAGTGCCTCCTGTCTGCCACAGCGACTCTGCCCTCAGGGGAGGAGACAGGCAAGGAGAAGGGGCCTCTCTTTATTCTGTGTCAGATGCAAGGCCTCCGTGAACAAGCACTTAATCTACTTGAGAAGTTCAAAAATAATCATTCTGCCTCCCAAAGTGAGAAATTCATTTGTTTTCAGAATAAGTTCGCCTGCCTTCCAATAAGGAGTAGAGAAGGAAAGTTTCCATAGCAACAGTGGTTTGGGGAGAAGGCTTTGGGTACCACATGAAAAAATAATCTCAATTATCTAAGTACTTTTTCTCCTCTTTGACTCCACTCGGTTACTGATGAGTCACTAGGCTACACATGAGGAGAGAGAAGAGCGATAAGCAAGTGTGGGTGTGAAAAAGGGAAGAAAGTTAGTGAAGAAGCCAAGTTTGTCAGTTTTCAGGGTGGAGGGGAAGAGTTGCATTAGGGCATAGACTGAAGCGAAGCTTGGAAGATCTGGGTCATTAGAGGTGATATCAGTGTAGACTGTGTCCTTTTTTCCTGATCATTGGAACAAGCCATTTTTAGGTCAGGAAACCTCTCTGAGCTCTAGTTCACAGAGGTTAAGTGACTGCCTCAAGGTCAGAGAGATGCACAGCAGCAGCTCCAGAACCCACACCCAGGCCACTGTCTGCGGTACCCAGCAGAGAATGTTCTTCCTCCGTGGCTCCTCCAGGCCAAGAGCCCCGAGTGGTTGAACAAGATGGGTTTGTTACTCATGCAATGACCACTGTCCAGTCATTTGACACCTTGGACCTTAGTTTCCTTTCCTCTAAATGGGGTGAGCACGCCGGCCCTGCTTGAGCCACAGACAAAGGAAATAGCTGTTCTTTGACAGTAACAACCACAGATGACGTTGATGAGCATCTCAGCATGTAGGGAGCTCTTGTGAGTCCTTCATTAATTCTCACCACAGCCCACAGCTGAGTATGGCTGGTGTGCCCATGTCATGGACAAGGTCACTGAGGCAGAGAGTGGCTAAATGATCTGTGCCAGCTTGCATAGCTAGCAAGTGTCATAGAGAAGGAAAGTTTCCATAGCAACAGTGGTTTGAGGAGAAGGCTTTGGGTACCACATGAAAAAATAATCTCAATTATCTAAGTACTTTTTCTCCTCTTTGACTCCACTCGGTTACTGATGAGTCACTAGGCTACACATGAGGAGAGAGAAGAGCGATAAGCAAGTGTGGGTGTGAAAAAGGGAAGAAAGTTAGTGAAGAAGCCAAGTTTGTCAGTTTTCAGGGTGGAGGGGAAGAGTTGCATTAGGGCATAGACTGAAGCGAAGCTTGGAAGATCTGGGTCATTAGAGGTGATATCAGTGTAGACTGTGTCCTTTTTTCCTGATCATTGGAACAAGCCATTTTTAGGTCAGGAAACCTCTCTGAGCTCTAGTTCACAGAGGTTAAGTGACTGCCTCAAGGTCAGAGAGATGCACAGCAGCAGCTCCAGAACCCACACCCAGGCCACTGTCTGCGGTACCCAGCAGAGAATGTTCTTCCTCCGTGGCTCCTCCAGGCCAAGAGCCCCGAGTGGTTGAACAAGATGGGTTTGTTACTCATGCAATGACCACTGTCCAGTCATTTGACACCTTGGACCTTAGTTTCCTTTCCTCTAAATGGGGTGAGCACGCCGGCCCTGCTTGAGCCACAGACAAAGGAAATAGCTGTTCTTTGACAGTAACAACCACAGATGACGTTGATGAGCATCTCAGCATGTAGGGAGCTCTTGTGAGTCCTTCATTAATTCTCACCACAGCCCACAGCTGAGTATGGCTGGTGTGCCCATGTCATGGACAAGGTCACTGAGGCAGAGAGTGGCTAAATGATCTGTGCCAGCTTGCATAGCTAGCAAGTGTCAGAATGCTTGGCAGTCGCTGAGCTGCCAGTCCCCACCCCCCCAACCCCCCACCTCCATATAGCATCAGGATGTTCAGTGACCAAGTAGTAGTGGGAAGAGGCTCACCCAGGTCCTCACGCTGGGCATGGGAGGACGCTCCTCCACCTGTCTGGACCTCGCTTTCCTGTTTGGGATAGCCATAGGGACCAGCAGGAATGCCTGTAGCTCACCCCGACAGCAGAGTACCTGGCAGAGCCCGGGGCTCAGTCAGAGTGGCGATCACCACCATGCTTGTGTGTGCATCCTCCCCTCCACCAGAGTCAGTAACTATACACGTTCCTCATCACAGAGGAAGGCAGCATCCAGGGTATGGCCCAGATAGGTTTGGTGTAGTGTCCCAGAGAGGGGCACAAGGAAGGAAGCCTGGCGGTGGGTGATGCCCCCAGCTGCCCCTCTTGACGTGAGCCACCCTAGACCCCGCCAGAGCTTTATTTTGTTTTCCTATGATCTGTGGTCCTTTGGCCACAGGACTGCATCCCTCCGAGGGCTGTTGGTGGGAATCCCGAGCTGCTGTTGCTGCCCTTCAGATGCTGGAGGGATGCAGGAGGGGAGGGAGAGACAGGGCACCAAGGTGAGAGCCGTCTCTGGAGACAATCTCCGCGCACAGATTCAGTCTTTCCAGCCAGACTGCGAGCCTCTCGGCCGCCTGGGACAGGAGTCCGCAGGCAGCTCTCGGGCCCCTGGGATGGGAGCCTGCGGGGCGGCCCTTGGGCCCCTGGGACGGGAGTCACGGGCGTCCGCGGGGCGGTTCTCGGGCCACCTGGGACGGGCGTCTGCAGGGCGGCCCTCGGGCCCCTGGGACGGGAGCCACGGGCGTCCGCGGGCGTCTCTCTGGCCCCTGGGACGGGAGTCACGGGCGTCCGCGGGGCGGTTCTCGGCCACCTGGGACAGGCGTCTGCGGGGCGGCTCTCTGGCCCCTGGGACGGGAATCACGGGAGTCCGCGGGGCAGTTCTCGGCCACCTGGGACGGGCATCTGCGGGGCGGCTCTCTGGCCCGTGGGACGGACCTCCGTGGGGAGGCTCTCTGGCCCCTGGGACGGGCGTCTGCGGGGCGGCTTTCTGGCCCCTGGGACGGGAATCACGGGAGTCCGCGGAGCAGTTCTCGGCCACCTGGGACGGGCGTCTGCGGGGCAGCTCTCTGGCCCGTGGGACGGACGTCCGTGGGGAGGCTCTCTGGCCCCTGGAACGGGAGCCCGCGGCCGGCTCTCTGGCCCCCGGGACGGGAATCACGGGAGTCCGCGGGGCAGTTCTCGGCCACCTGGGACGGGCATCTGCGGGGCGGCTCTCTGGCCCGTGGGACGGACCTCCGTGGGGAGGCTCTCTGGCCCCTGGGACGGGCGTCTGCGGGGCGGCTTTCTGGCCCCTGGGACGGGAATCACGGGAGTCCGCGGAGCAGTTCTCGGCCACCTGGGACGGGCGTCTGCGGGGCAGCTCTCTGGCCCGTGGGACGGACGTCCGTGGGGAGGCTCTCTGGCCCCTGGAACGGGAGCCCGCGGCCGGCTCTCTGGCCCCCGGGACGGGAATCACGGGAGTCCGCGGGGCAGTTCTCGGCCACCTGGGACGGGCATCTGCGGGGCGGCTCTCTGGCCCGTGGGACGGACCTCCGTGGGGAGGCTCTCTGGCCCCTGGGACGGGCGTCTGCGGGGCGGCTTTCTNGAAAAGATTTTTTTAAAACTATGTGTGGGTGTGTGCTAAGTTGCTACAGTCGTGTCCGACTCTTTGCAACATTATGGACTGTAACCTGCCAGGCTCTATGGGATTCTGTCCCTGGGATTCTCCAGGCAAAATACTGGAGTGGGTTGCTGTGCTGTTTTCCAGGGGCTCTTCCCTCACCCAGGGATCGAACCCACACCTCTGTGTCTCCTGCACTGGCAGGTGGGTTCTTTACCACTAGAGCCTGGGAAGCTCTTTTAAAAGTATACCGAGATGAAAATTGTCTTTACACTAAAAGTTTCCAGGAGCCCAAGGAAAGCCTATTTGGAATCCAAGTCAAGGACCTGTGGGATGGCTGTAGGCAGATCAGGGATTTTTCTTAAACATCCCCAAAAGAAATGTGATTTTCTTTGAGTAAGGATTAATGAGAAGATAAATCCATAGGGAAACTCTGGAAAAACCAAGTGAACACAAACCGATAATGTAAATACACGTTTACATTAATACACTGCGTAGATTGGCATGCTGACTCCCAGCTGTCCCTGCTGGTCAGTAAAGAAAGCCACGTCAGTGCTTCTCTTGGGCTGATTGGAATTATACATGTGCCCAGGGAATAGAGCCCAGCATCTCCCACAGTGGTCTCTAGATAATTCAGAACTGATTTACTGAAGCACTGACTTCCCACCGGGCTTCCCAGGTGGTGCAGTGGTAAAGAATCCACCTGCCAATGCAGGAAACACAGGAGATAAGGGTTCAATCCCTGGGTGGGAAAGATCCCCTAGAGTAGGAACTGGCAATCCTCTCCAGTATTCTTGCCTGGAAAATTCCCTGGACAGAGGAGCCTGGCAGTCTGCAGTTCGTGGGATGGCAAAGAGTCAGACACAGCTGAACGACTGACTTCCCGTGGGCAGCCTGGGACACAGACTACTGAGGGTCAGGTAAATGAGGGTCTCTCCTCGTCACCTGGGGGCGCTCCTGTACTCAGCCAGGTCTCACCTCCTGGGTGAGTTTGTTCTGGGGACTAACAGGAAGGGGCTGGCTTTCCTCAGTGCTCAGTAAATGCTCATCTTGTCTGCTCGAGTGTGCTGTGGGCCAATGCTCACTCTTGCAGCACAGAGCTCAGGGTCAGATACAGACATGGGCACCCAAGGAAGACTTGATTAGTCCATTTCATAGTCATTTTTGCCTTTTATATGCAGCTAATTGATTTTAACATTAGGAGACATCCGTGATTTAATGTTAAAATAACTCAGTTTTAAGAAATATTCTAGGGGGTCCACCAACAGAGGGAAGCAAAGCCCTTTACAAAGTAGAAGGACTCAGGTTGGAGCGGCTGCCAGAATTTCATGCTCTAGTCCCTGGCTCGGGAAACTCCTCATGGGATTTTAGAGTGCATTTCCTCTTTTTCCTGTTGTAACGGACCTTGCAGACCCAAATGCTGTCAGTGACCAACTCTGCCTCAAGGGCCCTTGCGGAGCCTTTCCATAGTGTTTTTCCACCAGCCCCCGGGACCTCCCTCTCCAAGGCCTCGGTTAGCAAGTGTCCCTGGGGTGCCCGGCTTGTGCCTTTGTGGCCCCCGGGGGAGACTGGAAAACCATGTGAAGACATGAGGCCATCCCTGTAATGCCTGTGCTTGTTCTTGTGTCTCAGGAATACCGGCCTCGCACGTTCTGGCTGAACATGGCCGATGCTGCCTTCCAGAGCCTCGTGTGCTTTTTCATTCCCTACCTGGTAAGTTGGCCCCTGGCCAGGCCTTTCCCGCCAGTTTCATCCGGTGATGCGCAGACAGAGGACCCCACTGTCTTTCAGGCCTACTACGACTCTGACACAGACATCTTCACCTGGGGCACCCCCATCACTGCCATCGCCCTGTTCACCTTCCTCCTGCACCTGGGCATCGAGACCAAGACCTGGGTGAGAACCGTGGGACTGACCCGGAAGGGAGCTGGTCTGTGAGCCCTCACTGACATGCCCAGTCTGTGAGCTTGAGCAGGGTTTTACGAAGCCAGCCTCTCTGTGCTGAGAACACACCGGGTCCCCGGGCCAGCCACATGGACCCGAACCTGGGTGGGGCAGCTCCAGCCCACGCCCGCGCTTGTCCTGGGCAGCACTGGGCCCCTTCCCTCAGAGCCCCTCCACCCCCCTTCCCCTGGCCCCTGGCGTCCATCGCCCAGCCTGTGTTCACGCTGACCCATCCTGTTCCCACTCTGAGAACACTGCGCCTGCTGTAGGAGGACCGGTGCATTTTTGTTGAAACAGAAGCCCTGTTGTTCTCTTTATCCCTCAGACCTGGCTCAACTGGACGGCTTGTGGCTTCAGTGTCGTGTTATTTTTCACCGTGGCTTTGATTTACAACGCTTCCTGCGCGACGTGCTACCCTCCCTCCAACCCCTACTGGACCATGCAGGCGTTGATGGGCGACCCCGTGTTTTACTGCATTTGTCTGCTCGCGCCCGTGGCTGCTCTGCTGCCCAGGTAGGGGTCCGGGACAGCGGCTTCAGGTCCCGCGTGAGCGCGGAAAGCTCTGTCTGTGCTGTGCTCCTGAACGATTCGAATCCCAGAGCTCAAAGGCTTCGCGGCAGCAGTAGCTGACTGTGTTCTGTATGTTCTTTCCAGGTTGTTTTTCAAAGCCCTGCAGGGGACCCTTTTCCCTACCCCGCTGCAGCTGGGACGCCAGTTAGCCAAGCGGTCCCCCGGGAAATTCAGGGCTCCCGGAGAGACCTCTGCTCAGGGGCACATCCCGGGAGAAGCAAGGACGGAGCCACCGGGACAGAGGAGCATCAGTGCCGCACAGTCCGTCTCCCAGGACTGCAGCTCACGGGTGTCCCGGGGCGCGCGGCAGCCGGCCTGCTCCCCCGAGGCTGGCGGGGAGCCCAGCGCGGTGGACGTGGGCGTGCTGCGGAGGGAGGGCGCCCTGCCGGACAGGTTGGGCAGCCAGCCCTCCCGGTCCTCCTCGCCAGGGCCGGTGGCCGTGGAGGGCTGTCCGGGAGGCTCCAGGATGAAACCTGTGAGCGCCAGCCGGCCAGCCCCCTGGCCATCCGTCTTCAGCGTGCCCGGCCTCAGCTCCCTCAACTGGATGTCCTCGCTGTCCCTGGTCGGCGGGCTAGGCAGCGTCCTACAGTTCTCCCGGAGCGGTCTGCCCATGGACAAGCGCGACGGCGACTTCCTGCCCGGCTCCGCGCTGCCGGACCGGGACCTGTGTGGCTTGAGCGGGCAGACCACAGACTGCTTCTAG